AATATGAATATGCTGAAAATTAAAGATTTGTTTAGTCTTAAATATCAGTGTTGTTTATAAAAATCTGATAATAAAATATCGTCCTGCATTTATGATTGTATATTCTTCTATGGAACACAGTACTGACTTATGTTGCCTTAGTACACCTGCGGCCGATCACTGATTACTTGTACCATTAAGTTGGCTGACTTGTGTATACAGGTTGTGGACCGCTGATTTAGATGAATCAGTCAAACACATCCCAACCAATACCGTAAACTCAACTCTGATATTGGCTCTTATAATATCAGGGGGTACAGAGACATTTATTATATGAATTTCTCTTATAATATGAAATTTAAGTGACAATTGTGTCTAACCTGAGTAAGGTTCAACACAACATAAAACACACCACACAGTCTACGGTGTTATCTGCCGTGTTTAACTTACTGCTCCTATAACCTGTGTAAGATGGTGGTGTTGACAGGTGGACATGTATACAGTAATTAAATCTTTATTAAATTGGTCTTTTTTATCCCATTTACAGTTTAAAAGTGCACACGGACTTTACAATACACACATTAAAACACAATAAAGCAAACTATCTCGTAGGTTATAGAAAAAGAAACAATTTAAAATATTAGTGTTTTTATTACAATACAATACATCACCCCCACTGAGGACACACACCTGAGTGGGCCTGGTGAGGTGAGGGGGTAGATTGTGTGTGTATTTTAGCACATTGTTAAGGGCAAGAGGCAGGTAAGGAACTAAAGGTACATTGTGTTTTCATCACCATAACACAGTTGGTAGAGACACAAACACCTGCCGTTAACAACTGCCTTGATAATAGATGCTAAAAGTAACAGACAAAATAATATCAATACAAACATTAAAAGTCGTTTCGGTATTACAGTGACACGTCTAAATAAGGGATTATTTTCTCCAGGTAATCTGTTAAATGGAGGTTTTTACATCTAACAGACACTTGATATAACGGATTTTCATGTCTATATAGTTCGTTAGATGAGGTTTTATATCTAACGAACCTTCTATATAACGGACTTTCTTCTCCATAGTGTCCGTTAAATAGAAGTTTCACTGTAGATAACACCACCTATTGTTTAACGACCTAAGTATCATCGGTGTTGAACGTGTGAAGCAAGACGCTACTGCTGTGAGATGCCTTACGAGACATACAGAGGAGATGGGGATGGGGAGGGCTTCGTCAGGTGGGTGTTGGGGAAGGGGTGTTGTGTGTGTGTGTGTGTGTGTGTGTGTGTGTGTGTGTGTGTGGAACGACTCTTAATTGGGAAAATATCAAAAGATGGCGAACAAAGTACTTCAAGACTGCATTGGAGATAGTTAATTGATGAACTCTCTGACGTATCTTGGTGTAGCTGGGAGGTAGTAGGGTGAGGGAGGAGGGAGCAGGGTAGGGGGAGGGAGGTAGAGGGAGCAGGGTAAGGGGTGAGGGGAGGGTAGGGGAGCAGGGTGGGGAGGGGAGGGTAGAGGGAGCAGGGTAGGGGGAGGGAGGTAGAGGGGAGCAGGGGGGTGGGAGGGAGGTAGGGGAGCAGGGTAGGGGTGAGGGGAGGGGTAGAGGGGAGCAGGGTGGGGTGGGGAGGGGAGGGGTAGAGGGGAGCAGGGTAGGTGGGAGGGAGGGTAGAGGGAGCAGGGTAAGGTGGAGGGAGGGGTAGAGGGGGGCAGGGGTAGGGGGGGGGAGGGGTAGAGGGGAGCAGGGTAGGGGTGAGGGAGGGGAGAGGGGCAGAGTAGGGTGAGGAGGGGTAGAGGGAGCAGGGTGGGGTGAGGAGTGTAGAGGGAGCAGGGTGAGGTGGAGGAGGGGTAGGGGAGCAGGGTAGGGGTGAGGGGAGGGAGGGGAGCAGGGTAGGGTGAGGGGAGTGGTAGAGGAGCAGGGTAAGGTGAGGGAGGTAGGAGGGGGCAGGTATGAGGGGAGGGTGGAGGGGAGCAGGGGTAGGGGTGAGGGAGGGAGAGGGGAGCAGGGTAGGGGTGAGGGAGGTGAGGGGCAGGTAGGGGGAGGGGAGGGGAGGGGAGAGGGGTGGGAGGGAGGTAGAGGGGCAGGTAAGGTGAGGGAGGGTGGGGGAGCAGGGTAAGGGGAGGGGAGGGTAGAGGGGAGCAGGGGTAGGGGTGGGGGAGGGAGGGTAGAGGGGAGCAGGGGTAAGGTGAGGGAGGGGGAGAGGGGACAGGGGTAGGGGTGAGGGAGGGGTAGAGGGAGCAGGGTAGGGGTGAGGGGAGGGGTAGAGGGGAGCAGGGTAAGGTGAGGGAGGGTAGAGGGGACAGGGGTGGGTGAGGAGAGTGAAGGAGCAGGGTAGGGGAGGGGAGGGTGAGGGAGCAGGGGTAGGGGTGGGAGGGGAGGGGTAGAGGGGAGGCAGGGTAAGGTGAGGAGGGTAGAGGGAGCAGGGGTAGGTGAGGAGGGGTGGGAGGGAGCAGGGTAGGGTGAGGGAGGGGGTGAGGGGAGCAGGGTAGGGGTGAGGGGAGGGTGGAGGGAAGCAGGGTAGGGGTGGGGAGGGTAGGGGAGCAGGGTGGGGTGAGGGAGGTAGAGGGGAGCAGGGTAAGGTGAGGGAGGTAGAGGGGACAGGGTAAGGTGAGGGGAGGGTAGAGGGGAGCAGGTAAGGTGAGGGGAGGGTAGAGGGGAGCAGTGTAAGGTGAGGGAGGTGAGGGGACAGGGGTAGGGGTGGGGAGGGTAGGCAGAGGGAGCAGTGTAAGGGGAGGGGAGGGAGAGGGGAGGGTGGGAGGGGAGGCAGAGGGGAGGGCAGGGTGTGGGGTGGAGGGGAGGGGTAGAGGGGAGCAGGGGTAAGGGGAGGGGAGGGCAGAGGGGAGCAGGGTAAGGTGAGGGGAGGGGTAGAGGGAGCAGGGGGAGCAGGGGGGTGAGGGAGGAGCAGGGGGAGCAGGGGTAAGGTGAGGAGGGTAGAGGAGCAGGGTAGGGGGAGGGAGGGAGAGGGAGCAGGGGGTGAGGGAGGTAGAGGGGAGCAGGGGGTGAGGGAGGGAGGGAGCAGGGTAGGTGGGAGGCAGAGGGAGGGGAGAGGGTAGAGGGAGAGCAGGGTAAGGGGTGAGGGAGGGTAGAGGGGAGCAGGAGGGTGAGGGGGAGGGGGTAAGGTGAGGGAGGGGGAGCAGGGTAGGGGTGAGGAGGGCAGAAGGTGAGGGTGAGGGAGCAGGGTAAGGTGAGGGAGGGTAGAGGGGAGCAGAGTAAGGTGAGGGAGGGTAGAGGGGAGCAGGGTAAGGTGAGGGAGGGTAGAGGGGAGCAGGGTAAGGTCACAGGCTGGTGATATAATCTTTGTGTGTTTAGGTTCAAGATTTAATTAATTATTTATTCGTTTATTTCCGTATCTGTTGTGGACAGCTATCGTCTCGTGCTGATAAAACTACCACTATTATATCTATTCTTTGGTTCTATAACTATTACCCTGTTAACAACTATCCTCTCGTGCTGATAAACTACCACTATTATAACTATTTTTTGGTTCTATAGTTATTACCCTGTTAACAACTATCGTCTCGTGCTGATAAAACTACCACTATTATAACTATTTTTTGGTTCTATAGCTATTACCCTGTTAACAACTATCCTCTCGTGCTGATAAAACTACCACTATTATAACTATTCTTTGGTTCTATAACTATTACCCTGTTAACAACTCTCCTCTCGTGCTGATAAAACTACCACTATTATAACTATTTTCTCTTCTACAACTATGACTATGCTAACAGCTACCACTATTCCTGCTAAAACTACTAGTAATATTATTATACTACATCATCTACAACTATTTCTTTAATAATAACTACAAGTATACCTGATAATCTACTACAACTATTACAGAAATACTTATTTTCTTTTCTACAACTATTACTACTATTAAAACATATGGCAAACAACTACTATTAATACTGCTTTATCTTATAGACAAATTGTATTTTTCTCTGATGCTACTATTCTTATTATCACTACTACTACTACTACTACTACTAGTTCACCGTACACTACCAAAATTACTACTACTATTATTCCTACTAATGGATGTGAGTATTACTATCAGTATTGCTAACTATTACTACAACTTTTCCTCCCCCTCCCCTAAGACTACTACTACTACTATTTTGACTACGACTACCAGTACTTCTGTCGCTAGTCTTCGTAATGGTGTGTATTGTCGAAAGGTAATCACAGGTGTTCGGTCGATGCCACACCTGGTTATGAGCCACACCTGTCCATGAACCACACCTGTCCATGAGCCACATCTGTTCATGAGCCAAACCTGTCCATGAGCCACACCTGTTCATGAACCACACCTGTCCATGAGCCACACCTGATCATAAACTACAACTGTCCATGAACTACACCTGTCCATGAGCCACACCTGTTCATGAATCCCTTGACGAGACTGGTAACACGAGAACCTGTGATCGGGTGACTTACTGCCTCCGCACCTAACCTAACTTAACCTAACCAAACCAAATGCTACTTAACTCTATCGAACCTAAACTAACCTAACCTAACCAAACCAAAACCAAACCAAACCTAACCAAAACATATTATCCTCATAGAGACACACACACACATGCACACAGTATATGCACACACACAGGTGAGTCTTTATTAACAAGTCTTTAGCGCCATCTTCCCGTCTTGTGACCGCCGTGAGTTGGGGGTCAGCTGGCGTAGGTCAGACTAGTTTGAAGGCCGCAGGAAAAAGGTCAACAAAATGAGTCATCACATTATATATTAGGGTCACGTTCGATTACCTGTCCTCCTGTCTAATTGGCTTTCCGTCTTATGATAAGCGAGAGTTACAGGTAGTCATTTCCTTGCTGATGATGTGATGTGAAGTGAGGCGATGGACTTGAATATTAGGCAACCAAGTTAATTTCACCTTATTATTTAACACCCTAACGCTACCTGGGGAGGTTCGGTTAGGTTAGGGTAAGTTAGCTTAATTTTAAGGTAGATTAGGTTTGCTTAGGTTAGGTTAAATTAAATTAGATTAGGTTAGGTTAGGTTACGTTGGGTTTGTTTTGCTTAGGTTCGGTTAGGTTAGCGTTAGGATATTGAATCATAAGGTGAAATAACCTCGGGTGTCTATAATCTTCAGGTGATCCAGTGAGACGTATACCTATACCACTATCACCGTGAGAGAGGTCAAACAAAGGTCACAAATATATCCTAACCTGTATCACCAACACATTTTCCTACTCTGGTCAATATGCCGTAAAAAAAAAAGAGGTCAAACAAGGTGACTTCACTGACTTAACCCCGTAATCTGACCTCCAATCACCACCTCAAGTGTCTGGGTCATATCACTACATTCTTTACCTGTGTACCAAGTTGATGTGTGTCTTACAGGCTGACGCAGGACCTGAAGGGGAGGGAAGAGACGCTGGACTTAAACTTTGGCTTTAGGGCGTAGATGAAAGCGTAGAAAGAGGCTTAGTGGTGGTGGTGGTGGTGGGCGCGGGAGGTCAAGTTCGGGCGTGGTCGAGGCTGGAGAACTTGTACCTGCAGGGCCAGCGGGTGTCGATGTCGTGGATGGGAATAATCTCCTCTGATGGTTTCTCTCCCGCTAACTCCTCCCGCACCTGAGACCAGAAGCAGAGTATAGTAGGGGGCAAGTAAGGGGGGGGTTGAAGGAGTGGTGGTAGGGGTGATGGAAGGGTAGTGGTAGGTATGGTGGAGGGGGGGCATGTGTAGTGGTGGTAAGAAGAGGCGATTGTGGTTATGGTGGGGAGTTGTGGTGGGTATAGTGGTGTTAATAGGAAGGTGTAGTGGTTAATGTAATAATAATAATAATAATGAGAACAACACTAATGACCATAATTATTGTCGATATAATCATTACCAACAGACATTTAACATATAACCCTTTAAACCTGTCACACCTGGTAATTAACGATAGAAATCAATCACCATCAACGTCAACTAATTGTCACGTCACCTGTCATCGCTGAACACCTATGTGGGAATGTATATAGAGGCAACAGTTTATATCTGTCAGTCTTCATTATTATTTCCAGGACGATCTAGCCCACAAAACCTAACCTAACCTAACCTTCCCCTTTGCCCCGTGTACCGTCCATCATAACCACTACAGACATACATACATACATCTCCACAGGTATGGAAAACGTCAAGTAATTATCTCCTCTTCGCCAATTAAACTCAGATTCACTAAACATGTACCAGAGGCGAGACACAAGTGGGTGCAATTTGAGGTCGTCATTTTTTCATGTCAGATTAATCCTCGTGTCATTTATCGCCCCGGTGACACTAATCAATGCTTAGTCTGCTTCGAGTCTACAGTTACATATTACAGTTTATGATGAATAAAGTGTGTGTGTGTGTGTGTGTGTGTGTGTGTGTGTGTGTGTGTTTGAGAGAGACCCTGGCAGGCTGAGGGAGGGAGGGAGGCTGGCTGGCTGAAGCAGGGAAGGAGACTAACTGGCTGACTATCGAGGTTATGTTACGAGAGACAGAGAGAGAGAGAATGTGTGTGTATGTGGTCGTTAGCTGGTTTACACAGCGTCAACATCCTGTTATCACTGGTCCAAATGTCCTTCATGGTTGTCAAGCGTTTACATCATGTCCAATTACTTGTTGATGACACACACACACACACACACACACACACACACAGTACCTGCTCCACCCTCCTCAGGACTCGTAGGAGGTTAAGGCCCGCCAGCTTCTTCAGATCCTGTAGAGACCAGGAGGGATCCTTCAGTAGCTCGGCGAACAGCTCAGGATACTTGGACACGTCCTCCAGGCCCACAGGAGTCCTGCAGTGTGAAGTACATATCCTTAGCACCTGTCACCACACACAGGTACATGAACTCAGGTATATAAACACAGGTACATAAACACAGGTTCTACATAAACACAGGTACATAAACACAGATACCTATTCTCAGGTACATAAACACCGGTACATAAACTCAGGTACATAAACACAGGTACATAAACACAGGTACATAAACACAGGTACATAAACACAGATACCTATTCTCAGGTACATAAACACCGGTACATAAACTCAGGTACATAAACACAGGTACATAAACACAGGTACATAAACACAGATACATAAACACAGGTACATAAACACAGATACATAAACACAGGTACATAAACACAGATACATAAACACAGATACATAAACACAGGTACATAAACACAGATACATAAACACAGATTCTACATAAACACAGGTATATAAACACAGGTACATAAACACAGGTACATAAACACAGGTACATAAAGCACAGGTACATAAACACAGGTACATAAACACATATATGAGAGTAAACACAGGTACATAAACACAGATAATAAACACAGGTACATAAACTGTACATAAACACAGGTACATAAACACAGGTACATAAACATAGATATATAAAAACAGGTACATAAACACAGATACATAAACACAGGTACATAAACACAGGTACATAAACACAGATACATAAAAACAGGTTCTACATAAACACAGGTACATAAACACAGGTATAAAACTCAGGTACATAAACACAGGTACATAAACACAGGTACATAAACACAGATACATAACACAGGTACATAAACACAGGTACATAAAAACAGATACATAAACACAGATATATACACAGTAATAAACTCAGGTACATAAACACAGGTACATAAACACAGATATATAAACACAGGTACATAAACACAGGTACATAAACACAGGTACATAAACACAGATACATAAACACAGGTACATAAACACAGGTACATAAACACAGGTTCTACATAAACAGAGGTACATAAACACAGATATATAAACACAGATACCTATTCTCAGGTACATAAACACTGGTACATAAACACAGGCAAATACAGGTACATAAACACAGGCAAAACACAGATACATAAAAGGTACATAAACACAGATACCTATTCTGGTACATAAACACGTACATAAACTGTATAAAACATATATAAACACAGGTATATAAACACAGATACATAAACACAGGTACATAAAAGCACAGATATACATAAAACAGGTGTTATAACACAGGTATACATAGATATATATAAATACAGGAACATAGGTATATAAACACAGGTATATAAACACAGGTACATAAACACAGGTATATAAACACAGGCATAAACACAGGTAAAACACAGGTATATAAAAACAGGTACATAAACACAGGTACATAAACAAACACAGGTATATAAACACAGGTACATAAACATAGATATATAAACACAGGTATATAAACACAGGTATAAAATAAGGATAAACACAGGTACATAAACACAGGTATATAATAAAACAGGTACAGTAAAATTACAGGATAGCATAAACACAGGTATATAAAAACAGGTACATAAACACAGGTATATAAACACAGGTATATAAACACAGATACATAAACACAGGTATATAAACACAGATACATAAACACAGGTATTATATACATAAACACAGGTACATAAACACAGATACATAAACACAGATTTACAATATAAACACAGGTACATAAACACAGGTACATAAACACAGGTAAAACACAGATATATAAACACAGGTACATAAACACAGGTACAGGGAGGAAACTTAGAGCTGAAACACTAATGACTAAATAAAACTTTACTGTCTATCATCAAAGAGAAAGTTAGTAGTCTTACTCTCTGCCCTCTGTCTCTGTCTCTCTCTTCTCCTCGATCTATCACACACACACGCCTCTCTCTAACACGCTTGAGACACACCAGGTATAATTCTCACACCAGGTAAAGGAAAGGACCGAAATCGTTAGCTCAGTCACTCGTTGATTACAGGAACAGGGGCTTATTATTATATTGATGTTATGGTGTGTGTGTGTGTGTGTGTGTGTGTGTGTGTGTGTGTGTGTGTGTGTGTGTGTGTCCGTTTGTCTGTTTGTCTGTTTATATGTTGTGTTTTATTAGTTGTATGTTATTGATACTAGTAATGATGCCTCTGTGTTCTCTGTTCTTTTCCTCCTGTCTCTCCTCCTGCTCATCTCTCTCCATCCCTCTCACCTTTCTCCCTCTCCACTCTTCCACTCTTCCCCCCCGCCTTATCCTTCCCACCCTCCCTCCCTCTCTCTCCACCCCTCCCTCCCTCTCTCTCCCTAATTGCATCACAGACAATGAGGACATAGACATCCTGGGGTATACATGTACAGCCACGCTCCAACAGGCTGCCTGGTGTGGTTCCTCGCATTATGTTCGCCCTAATTATTCCACTCGGCGCTACACCATCGTCCCCACTAGGTGACACAACGGCTTCCAGTCTCCTGATACTGTGGCACGCGTCTGATGTCATGTGTCTTGAGATATGTGTGTGTGTCAGGACGAGAAGCAGGTTTGAGGTTTCGTTGGTTCATTTAGGTTTAGTTAGTTTTTCGGGTTTGGTTCGAGTTGGTGGCTTAGTTTAGGCTGAGAGGTGTGTGAGGGTTGGAGTCACGCAGCAGCTGTGGTTGAGGCAGTAGGGGTCGTTCCTCGATAGTCGTGCATGGAGGGAGAGTGTTCCCGCTGTATTTTGTCTGGCAACGTTACTAAAGAGTTACCGAGTGTGCTGGAGCAGAAGTGGCTGTCCTGGAGGATGGTGTTGTGGCCGGGATGGGAAGTGTCTCTTGTCGTGTTGTGTCGACGGTATATACACATTGTCAGGCCAACAGTTGTTAATCAATTCGGCAGTTACTAATGACGTTCAAGAGGATAGTAGTGGATATAATACATCAGTCGCTGAACTAAAATTCCTACTTGTGCAAATAGAGCAGCTCCAACTACCGAACGAACCAAGCGGTAGTTTAGGTCTTATTGTCGGGTAAAAATTACTTGTTTGTGTACATATAAATTTATAATATATACATGCATGTCGTAACTGTTTTATAGTAAATTAATGTTTAATTTCTTTGGGGTTTGTTTATCCATCCGGTACTTCACCTCATCTCCGGCCTTTTTATTGTATTACACTTGTTTTAAGTCCCATGGTCCCATCTAGTGTGTTAATCACGCACTCAATAACACCCTCACAATGTGTGTGTGTGTGTGTGAGTGAGAGAGAGAGAGAGAGAGAGAGAGAGAGAGAGAGAGAGAGAATACGATGACCTATTTCCCTTCAATATGACTAACCTAACCTAACCTAAAATATGTAGAACGATACACTACAGGACGTACGGGAAGGTGTGTGATAAAGGTGCAAAGGTGCTTTACAAAGGTGTGTTACAAATGTGCATTGCAAAGGTGTCCTACAAAGGTTCGTTACATAAGTGCGTTACAAATGTGTATTATAAAGATGCGTTACAAATAGGATTCCAAATGTACGTTACAAATGTGCATTACAAATGTGTCCTACAAAGGTTCGTTACAAAAGTGCGTTACAAATAGGGGTTACAGGAGTACGTTACAGAGGTACGACAGGAGACACTCACGTATTGATGCCGTCGTAACCAGCTCCCAGACCGACGTAGTCAACCCCGGCCATCGTGCGGACGTGGTTGATGTGTTCTGAAGAGGGACATAACATTAACATTACTTAACATGTTAACTATACACTGTTTACTATTAACATCACTTAACATGTTAACTATCACTGTTTACTATTAACATTACTTAACATGTTAACTATCACTGTTTACTATTAACATCACTTAACATGTTATATATACTACAATGTTTACTATGAACACTAACAATACTAAACATGTTAAAATATACAGTGTTTAACTATATATTTCACCACTTGATCGACTAGAGACCAGGGCCATAATACTCTGCTGATGAGAATACCACAAAAAAAAAACATTAACACCTCCAACATGTACAATAAAATCCTAGGGGTATATTATGAACCTCTGACGATATATGTATACCATTATATATAAAACGAATCATCAGACTCTCTCTCTCTCTCTCTCTCTCTCTCTCTCTCCTTCTCATTAACGCCAATTATTAACCCTGAAGTTCATCAAGAGTCTATTATAAACGCCTTTGATATTTCCAATGCATGTTAATGACCTCATCAACTCTTGTGGGGGAGGGCATTTTGGGAGGGGCATTTTGGGGGAGGGGAGGGGCATTTTTGGGGTCTTGGTTGGGGGTGTACTCTTCGTGTCTCTATCCCAGTCTGGAGCCGCTCATTTCTCGAGGTATTTCATAGACAGACAGACAGACAGGTAGATAGATAGATAGATAGACAGACTGACAGACAGATGATAGATATAGCAATAGATAGATATATAGATTAATTGATATATACAGACATACATACACACACACATACACATTCACATACACATACAGACAGATAGATAGACACACACACATACACACACACACACACACACACACACACACACACACACACACACACACACACACACACACACACACACACACACACACACACACACACACACAAAGCTATGGACCTCGGGCTTCGGAGAAGTCTCATACCATGGCTTACAGACTTCCTCAGTGACCGACGCCAAGCTGTACGCTTCCGAGGGGCTGTCTCCACCTTTCAGTCACTCACCTGTGGCGTCCCCCAAGGCACCAAGATGGGACCACTCTGCTTCCTTATGCTCATCAATGATGCCCTAAGAGAAGCCCCTGCTCGCTGGAAATATGTCGACGACTCCACCATTGGGATCAGCGTCAACAATTCCGCTCCCAACTATACCGCCCTTCAGGATTTATTGAACAGTCTCCAAAACTGGGCCACCAACAACCATGTCACCATCAACCATACCAAGACAATGGTTATGCACATCAACCTCTCCTCCGACATTGTCCCACCTCCTTCCATTACTCCAGGTCCGAACACACTCCAGGTTGTAGATTCCACGAAGCTCCTCGGCGTCACCATAGACAACAAACTAAATTGAAAACCACACGTCAGTGAAGTTGTCAAATCCTCCAGTTTCCGTCTCCACCTCCTCCGCCGACTCAAGTCCCTCGGAGTTCCCGCACACGAGCTCCTCAGTGTTTACACAACATTCATACTTCCCAAGCTCACCTATGCCTCCCCCACCTGGTCTTCCTCCCTAAATGCCACACAACGTAAACACTTAGAAAAAGTGCAAAAGAGGGCATGCAAGATTATTCTTCCTTCCTACTCCACATATCAAGAAGCGCTCAACAACACACTGACCCTTTGACTTTCACTGACCATCACCACGACTCATCCACCAGGGAGATTTGGTAAAGAAGCTTCTACACCATCCCCTGACACCGGCTACTACCACCTGAGATCCCCTGTCGAGAATTGATTTCGACACCACAACTGCATCCAGCCCATACGTGCACGAACAGATCGCTATAAGAACAGCCCAGTCCCAACCATTGTAAAATTATCAATAACATGTAATAAATCAGTGTCACTCCCAGTAAACACTGCGCTCCCTACACTGTCACTATGTTGAAAATGAATTGTATTTTGAGCTGATCCCCATCTCTACTATATGTCTTATTTGTGTCACTTATGTCACTTGTATATTGTTGCCGTTCGTAACCCATTCCCCAAATATGTAACTGTATATTTTCGGCCTCTGGCTGCCAAGCTCTTTCAATAAACCGTTAATTATTATTATTGTTATTACACACACACACACACATTAACACACCCTGACACATCTTATTATACCCTGACACATCATGACGCACCTTGACACACCTTGGTGACACGCCCTGACACACCATGACACACCTTGCCGCACCCTGACACACCCTGACACACCCTGACACACTTTGGCACACCCTGACACACCTGAACGCACCTCCTGACACACCATGCCACACCATGACACACCTTGCCACACCCTGTTAACTGACACCTTGACACACCCTGACACACTTTAGCACACCCTGACACACCTGAACACACCTTGACACACCCCTGACACACCCTGACACCTTGACACACCCTGACATACTTTAGCATACCCTGACACCTTGACACACCCTGACACATCTTGACACACTCTGACACACCTTGACACTTGACACACCCTGACACACCTGGAACACACCTTGACACACCATGACACACCTTGCCACACCCTGACACCCTGACACCACACACCCTGACACACTTTAGCACACCCTGACACACCTGGACACACTTGACACACCCTGACACACCCTGACACCTTGACACACCCTGACATACTTTAGCATATACCCTGACACACTTGACACACCCCTGACACATCTTGACACACTCCTGACACACTCTTGACACCTTTGACACACCCTGACATACTTTGCTTACACCTGACACACCTTTACACACCCTGGACACCTTGACTCACCCTGACATACTTTAGCACACCCTGACACACCTTTACACACCCTGACACCTTGACTCACCCTGACATACTTTAGCACACCTTTACACACCCTGACACATCTTGCCACACCTTGACACACCTTGATAAACCCTAATACACCCTAACACACCTTCACACACCCTAACACACATTGAAACACCTTCACACACCTGGACACACCTTAACACACCTTAAAACACCGTGATACATATTACCACACTTTAGCAAACCCTGACACACACCTTAACACACCTTCACACACTTTAACACACCATAACACACTTTAACACACCCTATCACACCTTAACACACCTTAACACACATTAACACACCTTAACAACACCTTAAAACACCTTAAAACACCATAACACACTTTAACACACCCTATCACACCTTAACACACCCTATCACACCTTAACACACCCTATCACACCTTAACAACACCTTAAAACACCTTAACACACCATAACACACCTTAACACACCCTATCACACCTTAACACACCCTATCATACCTTAACACACTCACCTGGACACTCAACCACCACCCATCAGGTCCAGCGTCAACAACATCAACAAACAGATGGGTGACACTTGTTCTACCCTGACCAAACGCACCAAGTGGTCTTCCCTTCACTCTCTCTACTGTGACCCTGACTTAACACCGGGGGACGCTTGACTTCATGTGTTATATATATATATCCAGTTTGTATAGATGGGAGAAGATCTTACCCACTATATGATACATCCAGTTCATATAGATGAGAGAAGACTTGACCTTATTCTGTTATATTACCTACAGTTCATTAACAACAGGGAACACCTGACCCATTATGTAATATATCTAGTTTATATACAACCTATAAACACGTGACCAACTTTAATATAGCCACTGGTCGTATATAATAACAACATCTTGTATAGTATAGTATAGTATAGTATAGTATAGTATAGTATATTTTGGTATAGTATAGTATAGTATAGTATAGTATAGTATAGTATGGTATGGTATGGTATGGTATGGTATGGTATGGTATAGTATAGTATGGTATGGTATGGTATAGTATGGTATGGTATAGTATAGTATAGTATGGTATGGTATAGTATTGTATGGTATGGTATAGTATAGTATAGTATGGTATAGTATGGTATGGTATAGTATAGTTTAGTATGGTATGGTATGGTATGGTATGGTATAGTATAGTATAGTATGGTATAGTATCGTATGGTATAGTATAGTATAGTATGGTATATATTATGTAATATATCTAGTTTATATACAACCTATAAACACGTGACCAACTTTAATATAGCCACTGGTCGTATATAATAACAACATCTTGTATAGTATAGTATAGTATAGTATAGTATAGTATAGTATATTTTGGTATAGTATAGTATAGTATAGTATGGTATGGTATGGTATGGTATGGTATGGTATGGTATAGTATAGTATGGTATGGTATGGTATAGTATGGTATGGTATAGTATAGTATAGTATGGTATGGTATAGTATTGTATGGTATGGTATAGTATAGTATAGTATGGTATAGTATGGTATGGTATAGTATAGTTTAGTATGGTATGGTATGGTATGGTATGGTATGGTATAGTATAGTATAGTATGGTATAGTATCGTATGGTATAGTATAGTATAGTATGGTATAGTATGGTATGGTATAGTATAGTATAGTATGGTATAGTATGGTATGGTATGGTATAGTATGGTATAGTATAGTATGGTATGGTATAGTATAGTATGGTATAGTATAGTATGGTATGGTATGGTATAGTATGGTATGGTATAGTATAGTATGGTATGGTATAGTATAGTATAGTATGGTATAGTATGGTATGGTATAGTATAGTTTAGTATGGTATGGTATGGTATGGTATAGTATGGTATAGTATGGTATGGTATAGTATAGTATAGTATGGTATAGTATGGTATGGTATAGTATAGTATAGTATGGTATAGTATGGTATGGTATGGTATAGTATGGTATAGTATAGTATGGTATGGTATAGTATAATATAGTATGGTATAGTATGGTATAGTATAGTATAGTATAGTATGGTATAGTATGGTATGGTATGGTATAGTATGGTATAGTATAGTATGGTATGGTATAGTATAGTATAGTATGGTATAGTATGGTATGGTATAGTATAGTATAGTA